TAAAAGCATTTACAAGCAATAAGAAAAAAACCCAGCATAAAAATAACAATAAGCTTATAGAATATTTAACATTATTAATTGCAAAGAAATATTAATTAAAGTAAAATTGGATAATACTTCTTAATATCAGATATAGGAAAGTTTTTAAAGTTCATAGTAGTGTTGGTGAAGCTGCAGTGGGGTGAGATTTTCTCCTTCACAAAGCCTTCCCTCACTACAGCACCTGGAATACTCAGCCACGTGGGGCCTACCCAAGGTAAGCATACTTGAAAAGAGGCTGCACTACCCATGATACTCCCACTGGATTTCTCATTAGACACAGACGACTTAAAACTGAATTTTAATGACCACAGATGTCACAGCTTTAATACTCAAAATCTTCAGATGCTTTGACCTACTAATTTCACTTTTAAGAAGTTATCTGAAGAAAATGATCAATGATAACACAAAAAAAGTTTAAATACAAGGAATCTATTTCGTTGTTCTTTATAGCAAGATTGGAAATATTTTCATGAAAATTAGAAGCTACCCAAATACCTCATAATAGGAAATCATGTTCTCCAAGGGTATGCCAGGGGACTATTCACAATATGTTATATTAAATAGTAAGACATAAACTGTACACGCAGTGTAATCACAATTCTGTCAGAACATAGATCTCTACCCATCTATCCATCTCCACTGCTACCCCCTCTCCAAAAAACTGAGAAAACATTAATAGTGATTTTCATAGTTTGGGAATTACTAGTGATGTTTTTTCTGCTTGTACACTTTTTTATTTTTTGAATTTTCACCATAAACATATTTTTACTTTTGTCATCAGAAAGCAAATACTGTTTAAAATATCAAATCAATCATTTATATGTCTTAAGTATAGTAAAATGTGAAGGTTGCATATAAAACAACTTGAAGTGAACTTCTTTATTCTACTTATTAAAAGTTAGGAGGTTGCTTCTAAGCATCTTGACATTTCACTTCATTAAAACGAGCTTGTTCTGTTGCTACTAAGAAACACTAACAGTTGTTTCTTAAACATTTGCAATCACACCACCTTTCAGACAGAGACCACAAAAATTAATTACAATAACAACCTGTCAATCACCAACATTTTTTTTCCTCTGTAAAATGAGAGGGCTGTGTTGGTTAATCTCTTTGGTATCTTCAAGCTCTCTAATGATGTGAATCTATTATGTAACTCAAGAGACATAAAATGAGGCAGGAGATTCTCCCTTCACAATAAGCTTGAAAATTATGGGAATAGCAACAAACACTTGGTAGGGAGTCTCCAATGCTTGATGTCAAAGCCACAGAAGATGATCAGGTGGTGATCCAAAGTGCACAGAGTGATGGAGACAAATTGCTCCCACCTCTCTCTTGGAAAAGAAGTCAATAAGTCCCCCATGATGCTGCTCTCAGAAGAGGAAGGCTAGAGATCAAGGGGTAAGGGGTTTGGCACATGCTGATATATATATATTATATAATTTTAATATAATAGTAATAATTATATATATATAAAATATATGTAATTTCCTAGTGTTTTCTATACCCATTTACAAAAGCCTTGTTTTTTATAAACACTTTAGCGGCAAAGAGACCTTTGTAAAGTCAAGGAATAATAGATCCACAAAGTAATGCTCCCAGACCTGGTTTTAGCTGTGTCATCTTAACCTCATTAATACCTTTAGAAAAGATGAGATTTTGACATGGAACAAAAGCACATTCTGCAGACAACATCTTAAATATATTCTTCTGCATAGCCAACTAACAAGTCCGCCTGGCTGTTGACATAAGTCCAAAGGAAAGACAAGGTCATAAAGTATTTGCCTGGCTTGCTGATGGAACAATAAAATAATTTTTCTTCATATAATTTGTTCCTGTTACGAAGTTATAGATCCAGAATACTAACTATCTGGGAATGTTCAGTGCATATTATAATTACATCCTCTACTTTGAAGAGAACAAGGCTGTGAAATTCAATATTCATTTCTTCCTTCACACACATAAATTAGTACTCCTTTTAGCCTCCCAGACAGGCAGAGAGAGTTGATCTCTCCCTCTGAGCTCCTCTATTCAATCGGATGTGGGCATGAGGGCATTACCACTTGCCACTTTCTTTTTCCGGGAATCTTTAAGCACTATCTTCTCAGACCTGACATTATCTGGTGATGGGATTAAATTAGTAAAGAGGAAAAGAAAGGGGATTGATGGTCCTTTTCCCAAGCTAATTTGTGGGGCAAAGAACAGGGAAAAGCATTCCAGCACTCTTTTAGGAAAACATATTTCAGGCTTGTCTCCCTGAATGTTTGGCAAGGCTGGGCAGCGATCCAAACACTAATTTGAAGGGATAGCTTTGGGGAGGTCATGGATGAAATAGTCCCCCAAGTGCTGGCTGTAATAAGCCCAAGTAAGACTCTCAAATAACCTGGAGTCAGCCAAAAGGCTCAAGTGTTTTCCTCACTCCAGGGAAGATGTCGGGACTTGTCTTGACTTGTTAGAACGCCAGTTGTGTAAAATGTTGTCGACCCTGCAAGCAAAGGCGGTCCTGTGGTGAGGCGAGGCCAATTCATTAAAGAGTGGACTCCTCAAGCTGCCCGTGCTGGACTCATCCTTGACTTTCCTTTGCTTCGACCCTATTCTCTCTGGAGATAGTCTCACTTCAACTAATCTGCCTTCTCCCCGCCACACACTCACTCTATGCTAAAGCCTCTTGGAAAGCCCTCTCTTAGGGGAAAGCTTTCACCTTGGATCACCAATCTAAAGTTCTTAAAACACCAGGCTATTTTGTAGCTACAGAGAGAGAGTCTCCATGACCTGCCCTATGGTTGGCAAGCCAGAGGCTAAAGACAAGATTATTGCTGTTCAGTGAGAGAGGAAAAGTGCTCTGGATGGCTTCCCAAGCAAGCCAAAAGGCGCAAAAAAAAACCCACAAAAAAAAAACAAAAAACAAACCCTCCAAGATTCAGGGAAAACCCTAGAGATACAAGAGACAAGGTGAGATTCACAGCAAACCCAGAAAAGTATTTAAACTATGCAAGAAAACAAATAAGATTAAGAAGGCTTTGGAAAGAATCTAGGGGAAGTGAAAAAAGTAAGAGAGGAAGGAAGGGCAGGAAGACAAGAAATGCGATCATTTTGACTTTAAGACTAAAATTAGATTTTTTGTCTTGACTTAAAAAAAAAAATCATTCTTCTATCTCTATTTGAAGAAGTAGACCACTAGAGAATTTTTCCTTCAAAATATAGTTCCTGAAATTCAGCCTTTTTCTTACTTACACCAAGTACCAGAAATATAACATTTTCTGAGGAGTACATTTTGAAAGTTGCATATGGGAAACAGACACATGGTTATGTTCTTACACAGTTTAGAGCTTCCCATGTGATGTACTACAGCAGAATGGGGCGTGGGAGGTGGTGGGAAAAAGGAGGGCTTTCCAAACTCTTCCAGAAAAAGCTGGAGGCCAAGCAGATTTCATTTCTTAACTAATGCATCAGCAGACCTGTGGTCCTAGAACTACTCAGCTACATAGGTCATTGGTCAACGGCCAACATGCCATTGGAACAAGGACGTAGATAAGTTGGAGAAGGGATTTGCTCACTGCATGAATCCTCCAGTCATCGATGTTTACTGAGCGCCTACTCTGGGAAACGTTCAGTGCTAAGTGATTGGTTAGGTGGGAGGCAAGGAAGATCACTACAAAGATGCAGAAAATACTGTCAATGTTCTCAAGCGTCTTAAGGCAAGATAAGAAGATTGCACATGTACACAAATAATAACACAAGAGGACAAATGATGAATGTCATTAGAGTGCAAAGATTTATTGAATTTGGATTTTCCATGTCCCTAGTATTCCACTTGCTTGAGATGTCTGATTGTCCCTTGACCTTATTTTGGATCCTGTGTGTTCCTTCATCTGAGAGATGCAGTTTGGTGCTTCTGACTTTAAACCACATCCCTATTCAAGTCCTTATGACCTGGCATTACTTCTGTCACCAAGGTGCTCTACAGCACTTCCCATTTCACAGGAGATCCTCTTCGGTGGCATGTGAAGTTTACACCACTCTTCATGACACAGACTGAATTGAGCAGCAAAGGGTGATATGTGGTCTGAAGACATTCCTAACATAGATTCTGCTTGGGTGTCTTTCAGCAACACATTGTGCAGAACTGAAAAAGTGGCTTCCTCAGGTAATTAGGAGACAGCGGCTCAAGGGAGATGATCCTGTCCCACAGGGAAAGTACACTATGCTCACCAAGTTTTAGGGACGCACACTGAATAGCAGCCTAGAGTGGGCATATCAAATCCTGCTAACTTGAATGGGCAGAGGCACTAACCTGGGGAGAGTTTTGTATCAGGTGGAAGATGAGGATTAAAGCAAAGAGCCTCTTTCCACCACATTTAACTTCATCTACTGCCTCAGGGTAACATTGAGGTGTAAGCAAAGATGAACTGTATCCATTCCATTTTCATAGTTCCTGTTATAAACCTTGCAATGGTACTTTTTAATCAGTACTTAATGTCTTTAAATGAATCCTAAAGGATCTGGAATGAGAAAGTATAATCAAGGAACTTTAGGATCGATTTCTAAGACCGTGGTTCTAAATGGGGGTAGATGAGCATTTGGCCGCTTAAGGGAAATTTGGCCATGCCTACAGACATTTCTGGTTGTCAGGACTTAGGGGTGCTACCAGGATCTAGTGGGTAGAGGTCAGGGATGTTCCTAAATATCCTACCATGCATAGGACAGCCCCCACAACAAAGCCTAACATGTCAATAGTGCTTAAGTGTAGAAACTCCACCCTAATGGAAAGAGCGCTGAATTAGGAGTAAGAAGGCCAGGGTTCTAGGCCAGGTTATACCATTTATTAGTAATATGACATTGGGTGAGTACCTTAAGCTCTTTTCTATTCAATGTTTTCATCTTCGATACAAGAGTAATAATAGTTGCTCTATTCACTCAGGGTTGTCTGTAACCATCAAATGAAAAAAAATGTATGTGGTACACACAGATAAGGTGGTTCCTGATTATTCAGCATCAGACTGCTTCAGCATCAACATTCTCAAACTACTCTTTATACAGACACAAATTCAATCTACAAATATTTATGTAGGGCCTATGGAATAAGTAGAACTGTTTAAATCTTATTCAAGAAACCCAAATGCCCATGGAAAGTCAAATGAGCTTCAGATCCTCCACGGCCCAGACAAAGAAAAGAAAACCTCTCTTGCCAACACAAGTTCAGCACTCAGTTTTCCCTTGTCAATGATATACAGGCATAGAATCAACCATAGGTCAGAAAACACTTACCGCATAGATTTTCTTTTCATGATGGCAAGATCCGGGAGTCCTCAACACACACTCAGGGCAGCACTGGTTGGCAGCTATCTGAAGCACTTCTCCCTGAGCATTTAAAAACAGCTCAGTGTAAAACGGCAGCAGCAAACACACTCACAATGGCTCACCGGACCCCAAGTCATCTCAGATTCACTAAATTTCATGAGTTTCCTTGGGTGACAACAGACAGGATAAACCAAATAAACTGACAAAAAAGATTCTCTATGTCAAGATGAGCTTCTCTCAAAGTTAAAATGAACCCCCTTGTGAAAGTAATTTCCTTGAAAATTGTCTACACCTTTTCACATGTAATGAAGTGGAGAATTTTATTCACTAGCATTGCTCCATCTGAGTGCCACACAAGAAAAGAAGTTAGGGTAAAAGGGCTGTATCTTCCCGAAAGGGGTTGTTTCCTTCTCTGAGAAGAGAAGACTTGGGATCAGGGGGTGGGGGCGATGGGCTGGCCACAGAGCTGGCAGGTCTTCTAGCTATCCTATGTAGGCCTGATGCAGCCAGCATGGGGGAGCTCAAGTTCTGATGTTTGCTTTTACTGGACAGAGTAGCAAGGCATACGGGGCAGGGGGTACTGAAGGACAAAGCTAGGAGAGGAAACAGCATTGTTGTGGAGGTATCACGTGTACTGTGGGGAGCCGGGTAGAATTCCTGGGCTCCAATAAAGATCTACATTGTTTTTCAGGTCGTCTGTAATTCCAATAGTGTTTCCTATCAAGATGTGATACTATCAAGGGAATGGGCTACCACATGATACCCAGTATTTATTGGTAAGTTGTCAGGTTAACCAGCCATCCATTTGCCACTGTGAAGAATCCATCTATCCAAGGGTTATTAAAACTGTGGAGCAAAGAGCATCTGTTTGTCTTTGGGGCCCAGTGATCCTCTGACTCATCTTGCTTCTCCCCTTAGGTATCTCAGCATTTCCACATGTCTTAAAGATGTGACAGAATGGGCAATGAGTGATTTTGACCAAAAATGGTTAGAGAGCCTGCATTAACCAGGGAATCATGGCTTGTCCACAGAATAAAAGTCTACAAAGAATTCATCCAGTAGAATGGAAAAAAAAAAAGTGTGTTTGTGTCTGTGTGTGTGTGCATGTGTGTGTGTGTGTGTGTGTATTAATGCTTCTTTGATATTTGGGGCTGCTTCCATTTAAAAAAATTGTACCTACAAGGGAATTCTAATTTTATATAACTATATCCATAAAAGTAAGTGAGAAATGGGACTAAGATTTTACCACTGTTCATCCACTAAACAGATAAATACAATTTTATCTAGCAACAGTGATCACCAAATTCTTCCAATTTGTTTGATGAAAGACAAAACATACAATATGGGGTTTTATAAAATTCTTCATACTATGCAACATTAATGACTTTTCAGAAAAGTGCCCTCTGAACCCAAGAGGAAACTAGACTTCTTTACAGTGAAATGTAAAAACCACATTAGCCTCATTTGCATTAAGAATTTCACACAGAAAATGAGATCATCCAAGCTGTTTATATTCTAATGTGGAAGCAGGGAGAAAGGGAGAAAGGCAGGTAGAATGGAAGACTTCAAGAAATATTTTATGCCCCCAAATTAGTTTTGTTTTCTATAAAAACTGATTTTCAGATTTGGCCCTCAAAACTCATTTCGTAAATATAATATTCTTTATTTGTGAGTGGCAGTGGAAGGGTCCCCAACTTGAGTCTAACTATTGAACTTGTGGTAGAACATCAAAGAGGTGATTGGGGCTAAAGGAAGAGCAAAGCATTTTGCATGTGGGAGCTTAGAGAAGGAGAAATGGAGTTCTTGCTTTCTAACCATGTGACCTTGCATAGCCTTGTGAGCTGTGGGCTACCTGGAACACATAAGCCTAGGCCTATGGGGAACAGTGGGAAGTAACCATATGGGCAAGAGATAACAATGAAGATTGCTAAGCTTGCTAGGCAAGATTACTTGCCCAGGATCTAGAAAAACTAACAAAAATAATTATGAGGATCATTTGGTAATTATAGCTAACACTTAACTGGGTACTTAGAATAGTTAGGTACTCTTCTAAGCATATACATGTATGTGCATATACATACACATATTTGTGTGTATGTATACATGTGTATATATATAAATATGTGTGTATATATGTATTATACCTATGCAGCTAATAATAGTATTTACAAATTAAGTTGTGACATTATATTATGTGTAACCTAATTAGGCAAATACTATTATTAGCTGCATTGATGTCTGCAGCCGAAACCACACCATGTAATACAGTGTTCCTTTGCATGGCATTGTCCTCTATACATATATATTCTCCATAAATCCTGAAGAGAGGATTGGTCCTCACAGGGCTGGGTTAAATAATCAAGGTTCTAAATACCTCTGTTCTGTTTTTCTCTGTCTCTGTCTCTGTCTCTCTCTCTGTTTCTGTTTAACTAGCTCTCTAGCTAGCTATTCTAGATAGATATAGGAAATGGATATAGAATCTATTATATATGGATAGGATGAATAGATAGATGATAAATGATGATAGATAGATAGATAGATAGATAGATAGATAGATAGATAGATGATAGATAGAAATATGTTAGAATTGCCATTGACAATAGGTTATTTCCAGTCAATCCATGAGTAAAACAAATTGTAAAAGGGCTTTTAAACATCTTTAAAAGATGAGAGTAACAAAGTCATTAATTATAATAATAGGGTACAATGGTGATTCATTAACCTGTGCCAAAAACTAATGTAAGTATACCACAGCAGATCTGAATAACAATACATGCTACTGAGAAACCCAAAGGAAAATTTAAAGGCAACATGGTAGAGTAGGAGTTACATTGGGTCATGAGCCAGGGACTAAGGTTTTGTCATGGCTGAGTCACTTACTAGCTCTGTGTTTCTGAGCAAGTGACTAAACCCCTAAAAGTCTGTTTCTTTGTCTATAAAATTTGAAAGTCTGACTAAATGAATTCCAGAGGCCTCTAGCAGTTTTAACATTCTATGATCTGTTTCATTACTTAAAATAAAGAACCCAAGTGTTCTGTGATCCACTTACAGATCTTGGAGTTGGAAGTTTCTTATGGTTGGATCATCTGGTACAACCCTCTCATTTTACCCCTAAGGAGCCTCCTTAGAGTTCACAGTCTACGATTATGGCATTCTTACTACTATCACTCACCAATTTGCTCATCACTCCTTCATAGTCACTCACTAAAGATTTGGCCCCTGGGTCTCATAATTCTAGACAACTTCAATGTCCATGAAAGTGACATTCTATCTTTGTACATTCTGAACCACCTCAATTCATACAATCTTTCTCTCCACTTCACTTGAGTTCCGCATGGTCATGGTCAACCCTGGGACCTACGTATACTCCAAATTATTCTATACTAGAAATCTTCACCTCTCTGAATCTGAACCTTCTGGCCTTTAGTTCTCTCTAATCCTCACTCCTCCTCATATCACATCCTTCAGAAAGCTCCTTGAACACTTTTTTCCCTTGTAGTCATTCAGCCAGCTGGTCTCATATTCCTATTCATGTTAGCCTTAATGCTCAATACTTCCTGTATATCTATTCTTTCTTGCCATTAATATGGCAAAATCCCAATCCTGGATCTATTCCACAATTTGTCTTTTCTTCCCTTATACTTGGCTAGGAAACATTGCTTAGAAAATCATCCCATCATGCAGCTTGGTACCCTCACAGGTTCCTGAAATCCTGCTTCCATGGGTCCTTAACACCATTCACAAATGCTTTCCCTTAACCTTGGTCATTCCCTCTCTCCCCTCAGTGACCGCTCCTAACATTCACTCTCTTTCAGTTCCCAACTGAACCTCAAAGTCTTCACAAAGTAAGATTAGATCTCTTTAGATATGAACTACTTCAGTATCCTGTCCCTTTTCTTACTTACAAATTTAACTATTTCTGTATCTACCCATGGCTCTTTCTCTCCACTTTTAGAAAAAGAGGATCCAAGCTCTGGATCTCACATGCTCTGTTCCCTAAAAACCACTCCTTCTAATTTATTCATTCTGTCTCTGTCTGTCCTCCCTACTCCACCTCCCATATCCTCAGCTTCTCTCTCTCTTCTAGGTCGTCCTCCTTTTCCTCCTAGCATGATCATGTTTCTTTTATGCTAATATAAAAAAAAAAAACCCTCCCTTCTCTTATTTGGTCATTCTGCAAATATTGACTAAGCGTCATACACTGTGCTGTTTGATGGGCTGCAATAGTGAAGAAGACAAGGTTTTTGCTCTCAAGAAGCTAAGAGTCTGGAGGAGGAAGCAGACAAATAAATAGGCATTTGCAGTCTGGTCAAAGGCTATAATAAGGGTAAGCACAAAGCACCGTGGCAACACATAGGAGGGTTCAATGGTTGGGGATAGGAGGTTCAAAGAAACTTTACAGATGTACTGATGTCTGCCTAATGCCCCATTTCTCTCCTATTCTCAGCAGAGCTCCCTGAAAGAGTAGCCTTTACTTGGCTTCCTGTCCCCACTTTCCATTCATTCCTCCTCTACAATACAGATTGCTCTCCCACCACTCCACTGACACCAACTTCAGGGTGGCCTGTGATCAACACTGTTGATACAAACTCCTTCTGGAAACTCTCTACTCTCCTGGCTACCATAATATCTCTCTCTTCTCTGATCACTTCTTACCTCTTACCTCTCTGACCATGTCTCTTCAATTTTCCTAAGTTCCCTCTCTTATGTTCACCTCCTTATAAATGACTATGTTCCCCAAATTGCATCCTTGATCTTATACTCTTTCTTCACAAAAGCTCTTTAGATGACCTCATTAATTCTAAAGGTTTATGCTACTGACTATATGTTAATAATACTCATATAATATTTCCAACCTTGTTTTCTCCTCTGAGCTTTAGATTCATATATTGGCTGCCTTTTCGACATGCCCACCTGGCTCCTCCATGGACACTTCACATGTAATGTTCCCTAAAGTGTAATCATCATGTTCTTCCCAGATGGAATGCTTTTCCTCATTATCCTATATTTCCAATATCAGTTGGTGGCTCAGATAACCAACAAGTCATCAAACCATAAACTTGGGAATCGTCTTTCCTTTTCCTTTCCCTCACCCTCCTAACTTCATATGTTTCTGCTGATTTATCCCCAAAGTGTTCTTTAGCCTGCCCTTTCCTCATGAGCCCTATGCTACTGGTGCTCTGATTTAGGTGCTCATCCCCACATCTGGATTATTCTCACAAACTCTAAATTGATCCCTGCATTTCTAATATTATGCATTATCTTAGAAAAACCAAAGAGATCTTTCTAAAAGAAAAGCTGACCATTCTACCCATATGCCTGAAATCTTCATTAGTGTTCTATCATCTTCAGAATAAAATCCCAAGCTCCATAGTACAGCATAGTACAAGGCTTTCCATACCTTGAACTTAAAAACCGTCTAGCCTTATCTCTCATTCATTCATTCAATTCGTCAAAAAAAAAAATTTACTGAGTACCTACCATGCTCAGGTGCTATATACAGTGAATAAAAGAGACAGTAAACAAGAAATATCAGTAAAATACATAGTATGTCTGATATTAGTGTCAAGAAGAAAAATAAAGCATGGAGGAGGGATAGGAAATGTGTGGTGGGGTAGGGATTTACAATTTTAAATAGAATGGTGTTTGGGCAAGATTTAAAGGAAGCAAAGGATCAAGCCACATATATTATCTGTACTGGAGAAAAAACAATTTCAGTGGGAAAAGCAGGGTGCAAAGGCCATAATGGCAGAAATGTGTCCGGCATCTCCAGGGAACACCAAGCAGACTTGGTGTCTGAAGCAGAATGAGCAAGGGAAAGAACAGTAGATTAATTACAGGGGGTACAATAGTACTTTAAGAGGACATTGTGAGCAGTTACTCTGAGTGAGAAGGCATTGGAAGCCATTGGAGGAGTTTAAGGAGAGAACCAACATGATTGGACTTAAATTTTAATAGGATCACCCTGACTGCTATATCAAGATTACAATGAAAAAGGCAAGTACAGAAACAGTAAAACAAGTTAAAAGGCTATAGTGAGAATATAGACAAAAAATGATAATAGGTGTGACAAGACTTAAAAGCAGGGAGATTGCATTTGGGACTTAAGATTTTATGAAGGAAGAGCTGGGTGTTTGCTAATGCACTGGACATGGGATGTGGGAGAGAGTTGGGGGTCAAGGATGATGCTAAGCATTCTGGCCTGAGCAACTGGGAGAAAGGAGTTGCCATTTACTGAGATGAGAAAAAGTAGAAAAACAAATGAGGAAGGGACAACGTCATGTTTGGTATAGAACAAGGGTCAGAAACTTACTTTCTGTAAAGGGCAAGATAATAAATATTTTAGCCTTTGGGGGCCACATTTGGTCTACATACAATTATGCAACTTTGTCCTTGTAATGTAAAAGCAGCCACAGACAACACATAAACAAATGAGTATGGCTGTGTTTCAAGAAAACTTTATTTATGGACACTAAAATTTGATTTCACACAATTTTTATATCATGAAATATTGTTCTGTCTTTTTCTAACCCTTTAAAAACATAAAAACTATTCTTTGTTCATAGGCCATACAAAAACAAGTGGCAGGCCAGATCTAGTCTGCTGACCTCTGGTGTAGAACACATTTAGTTTCCAGCAACACAATCGATATCTTTCTAACATTTAATGCAAGGCTTCTTATTCTTACATGATACCACAGTTATTCACATGAAGTGGAGGAGGGTATGTCTTCACGGCCCTTATATGAGCAACTCAGATTCTGACATGAATTACTCAGCAAGCTAAGTAGAGATCTTTTAGGATTATTTGCTCCATAAAATAGGAAGCCCCACAATATACAACAAAATATTATTAAATTTACCAACATTGGATGTACACACAGCTTCTCAGAAATATACCCATGAAGAAATGGAGGGCTACACTGAAAGGTATACAGAAACTTCTTCACTCCAATGTTAAAAACAAACAGAAACTTATTAGCACTAGATGGCATAAAGCCTCAAGATTATTATGGGGGGAGGGAGAAAACTAGAAAAATAAACTGTGCTTGTGAAATTGACAGAATGCTTTTTAAAGAAAATAATTTAGTCTTCTCCAGAAAGTTTCAAATGTTCAAATTTGAAGCTTAAGCTGTTTTTTTTTTTCAATAGATTCACTTTAAAAAGAAAAGAGTCAGCAACTGGAAAAAATATTCTAACAGAATTAGATGTATAGTCAGAAAAAAACTGAAAATTTTCAACAAAGGGGAAAGGAAGAAATATCCATCATATACTTGGTCCACCAGGAGCTTTCTGGAGTCAAAGCCTCTCCCATGTTCTGAGGGAGCTCAATAGCAGGGCAATAATACAGTCAGTGGCAGAACAAATAACGGTTTTAGAAAATTATCTTCAAGAAGTCAACACTGACTTTCAATCCATTCAATGGCTTGTAAATGTCGTGGTGCATATCAGTCGCTTTAGCATCTGTCAGCCCCAGGGAAACCTCTGGGCAGTAGTTTATTAACTGCATAATCGTGGGTAAATTGCTTGAAATCTCCAGGCTTCATTTCCTCATCTGTAAAGTGGGGAGCAAGATACCTACCCCCCATAATATTAAGTGGGGTAACATTTGTAAACCTTTAACTGAGCACCTGGTCCAGAGTAAATTTTCAATAAACAGAAATTAAGATATTCTTAAATGTTATATGTTAAAATTCTCTCCTGCATTTCATAAGGCTTCCAATTAGAGACTGGGATAAATGTCAGAACCAGATGACTAAAAAGATGCAAAAACCCTAACCTGCTCTGACTTTACCAGTACATTTAGGATATAATTAGGATGCTATACCTTCTCAAAGGCACACTGAGGGTTTCTGCAAACAGCAGGTTTGCAGATAACGATGTTGCCATGGCAACGGCAGTTCTGGCATGAATCAGGCTTCCAAGTTGTGGCATCCTGCAAGGAAGCATAAGCTCTGAGTTAAAAACTGATCAGTCAAGGTAGGAGCCCAGAGAAGCAGCACCATCGACAGCCCCACAGTCTGAACAATTAAAAGGCAAAGGAAAGTCACAGGTACACACAGTGCTTGCTGGGCACTGATTAAAGCCCGAGAGGCAATAAAAGCTGTATAATCCATTTCACCACAGTCAGCCCACGTAGCCAAAAACAAGGGCACCACAGCAGAGAGCTGTCAATACCCAGAGTAAAAACCATTGATTGGCCTGAAACCTCAGGAGGACAAGCTGCTCCCTGACTTGAAGTTTCTCTTTGCTGTTAAGTAACAGAAACCATTGGAGCATGTTTAAAGGAAAATGACACTTGCACTAGCAGTAACCAGCATCCTAAAAGCAGCATTTACCACTAGTTAATATCAGCACCTTAGACTTCCCTTTATAGCTCTTGCATACTGCCTACTGTAATGCTCATAGAAACAAGGACTTGAGTAAGAATTTCAATATTTTTTTTTCCAGTATAATTTTTTTTTATTCTTATGTTAATCCCCATACATTACATCATTAGTTTTAGATGAAGTGTTCCATGATTCATTGTTTGTGCATAACACCCAGTGCTCCATACAGAATGTGCCCTCCTCAATACCCATCACCAGGCTAACCCATCCTCCCACCACCCCCCTCCCTCTAGAACCCTGTTAGTTTTTCAGAGTCCATCGTCTCTCATGGTTCGTCTACCCCTCCGATTTCCCCCGCTTCAAGGAATTTCAATATTTTTAAGGTGGATCAACCAACTTATTGAGTGGCTGTGATCTGTCCAGCTGTATGCTAAACATATTGGGGTACAAACGAAGCGTGCATATGAGCACTTCAGACTCTCACACATTATTATGGATCATGAACATGAGGGCCTTTGACTTGAACTGGGATGAACTGGAATTTCCCCACAAAAAAGCAGAAACCAAGTGTGACAGTTAATGTTGTCAACTTGTCTAGGCTATGGGTCCTGGCTGTTTGGTCAAACACCGGCCTATACATTGCTGTGAAGATAGTCTGTACATGTAATTAACATTTACAATCAGTTGATTAAAGTAAAGGAGATTACACTGGATGACATGATGAGCCTCATCCAATCAGTTGAAGGTCTTTAAAGCAAAAATTGAGGTTTCTTGGAGAGAAAGGAATTCAGCCTCAAGACTATTACATTCTGCCTGAATTCCCAGGCTACCAGCCTGCCCTACAAATTTCAAAATTTCAGACTTGCAAGTGCAACTTTAACTTTTGCCTAAATTTCCAGCCTGCTGGCCTGCCTTACAGATTTTGGACTTGCCAGTCCCCACAACTGCATGAGCCAATCCCTTAAAATAAATCTCTTTATATATACACACACACACACACACACACACACACACACACACGCACGCATATATATAAAGATCCCCATATGTCTCCTTTTGGTTCTGTTTCTCTGGAGGACCATGTCTGACATACCAACACTAGTACAGACTAACATGGATGTGCACAACATTCCCAAGCACAAATGGAGACATCCTTTCAGACCGAGAAATGTTAAACCTCTTAGGGAAATGTATAACCTCTTAGGGAAGGTGCTTCAAACCCAAAGTCGCTTGAGAAACACAAAATATATCTAAGGTGAGATTACATTCCCAGTGGCTAATTCACAAAAACTCTGAGTCAAAGCAAATGAGTACTAGGAATACCTCTGAATTTCCTTCTTTCTTTCTTTTATTGTTATAGCACATTCCTCTGAAATTGGCAATAGTGTGTGTGCCATCTACAGTCTCCTCTTAAGTGAAAGAGCGATGACAAGTAGGTGAAGAAAAACAAATTTCATTCCCAAGCACGGGGTAATATATGTTCCCCGCTGATTTCAAGAACACAATATCAGTTTCAGGATACAGATTAAATAAAAATGACAACTTCATGAAGCCAGCAGCTACCATTTATTATTATCTTCGGCTGACCTATGCGTGACTCTTGGAGCAGGAAGCACTGATAGGGGAGGCATTTGTGGTACTAGAGGAGAGTGGCCTAGTTGGCTTTCCTGAACTCTGCCATCCTTCTAGAGGGCTGGGCCCAGCAGAGAGGGAAGTAACTGCACATCAATTCTCTGCAAGGCACTTACATGCACAACTCTACAGAGCTGCACTAATTATGACTATTCCCATTTTACAGATGAGGAAACAAGATGCGGGCGGTTGAGCAATCTGCTCAAGTTCACAAAGCCTCTAAGAGACCTGAATAGTCAGGCTCTGGAGCCAGGCTGCCTGGGCTTGAATCCTGGTGTCACCATTCAGAATGGTGAGTCCATTATCAAGTTAAGGTACCTGTGCCCTGGGTTTCTCACCTGTAAAGTAGGGATATGATAAAGTACTTAACTCATAGGCTTGTTGAAAGGATCAAATGAGATGATGTGTTTAAAGAGATCTGAATGGTGCCTGGAACTTACTAAGAGCTAATTAAGCGTAATTTATTTTTAATCCAAATGCTTTCTAAGATGTCACAGTCATTTAGCAAGCATCTCCTAAACATTTGCTTTTCTCAGAATGAAGAGTTCCATAAGTACCTGACTTCCTCATCTTCCCACTCCAGCCTACACACGTAAAACAGAGTGGAATTACTAGTTCATTAGGACCCTAGCACTGAAAGGATTTACGACGTTGCAGCAGGGAAGAATGAATCCACAGATTGCATTGTCAACACACCTGAGTAATTGGAAGCTCTGTCTCACTGAGCTAACATAACCAGGCCACCATGTCTCCCTTTCACTTGGACACAGGATGGCCATACCAGCTTCACACACTCACTATGGCTCTCAGCACAGTCACCTTCACTCTCTCCAGGTGTGGCATTCTTACACCAGGGGTCAACTTCTCCACATACCAATTTTTGTCTTAGTGACCCCAGACTCCAAAACAGTCCATGATATTTGTTAGGAGCTCTCAATCACTGGACTTGGCTTACTGAACTCTAAACAGGATCTTCTAAAAACACGGAATCATATTTTACTTTCACTCATAGCAGCATAATTTTTTTTTATGTTAATTCAAAGTTAGGTTTATCTGGGCCCAAGAGGCCCTCCTGAATTTGTTTACATATTTGTCTTCCACCAGACCATGACTCTTTAAAGAAGGAGGTCTCGTTTTATTCCTCTCTATGTATCCCCTTCATCGAGCATGGTTCCTGAGTGTTGGCTGAATTAATGAACAACCCTGAGAGGTTGCTAACCCTCAAGAAAATATCCATCCAATGAGGAATTCTTAATCTCAGGAGAAACAAACTGAGGGTGCTGGAGTGGTGGGGGTGGGAGGGATGGGGTGGCTGGGTGACAGATACTGGGGAGGGTATGTGCTATGGTGAGGGCTATGAATTGTGTAAAACTGTTGAATCACAGACCTGTACCTCTGAAACAAATAACACATTATATGTTAAAAAAAAAAAACAAAAAAACAGAAGAAGATAGTAGGAAGGGAAAAATGAAGGGGGGAGCAATTCGGAAGGGAGACGAACCATGAGAGACTATGGACTCTGAGAAACAAACTGAGGGTTCTAGAGGGTAGGGGGGTGGGGGGATGGGTTAGCCTGGTGATGGGTATTAAAGAGGGCATGTACTGAATGAAGCACAGGGTGTTATACGCAAACAATGAATCATAGAACTCTACATCAAAAGCTAATGATGTAATGTATGGTGATTAACATAATAAAAGAAAAAAAAAAGAAAATATCCATCCAGGCAAAATGAGATATCCCAGTTAGGATGCAAGATCTTGATAAAAACAATGTCTAAGTGACAGCACTACAAAATCTCCATAATGTTGAAGGTTATTACTTCACTGGAATCAAACTGTGTTTGAAAAAAATTCTTCAACTGGCCATCGGACTTGTCAAAAACTTCCTTATATTGATGTCCTTATAGAGTAAGTAATTTATGGCTAATTTTAAATAAAATGAGCCCTTTACCAAGGCCTGGATAGATGGCCATATATTTTTCAGGTCTAAAACTTTACGAATCAATTTCTATGGTTCCATAAAATTGCTTTATGAAGGTGGGGCTACTAGAGTTCCTCAATAGCTAAAACTTTGGATAAAGCCATAAAGTCCAAAGAAATAACATTGTAAAGTAAGTTTTACAGATCTTCCATGTTACTATTGCAATTCTGTTGCTTTACAATCCTCTCTTCCAATCTAATACACTTTGCCAAAGAAAGTCTTAAAATAGTTTTTCCCTAGAATATAGATTAAAGGATTAGATTATGACAAACCTAAAAAGCAATCAAAATATGATCTGTTAATACAGCTTTTAATATTTTTGATAATATGTGAATCAAATGTTCTTGCAGGTAATATAGTGCCTCCATCTCCAAATATCTTAAAGTAATAGCCAAGTAATTCAAGGAAAAAAAACCTTATTTCACTTTGTTAAGTATTTATTGAACATTTGATTAGTGTTAAAAATAAACAATGATTATATCCCTCACTCAAATTTCTGGGGGGAAATTATTTACAGTATTCTATAAGAGCAGTATCAACTGTCAACATAAATTTTCTTCAATTTGAATGGTATAATAACCCTACTTCAATTATTGATTCCTCTCATTTTAAATTCTCTTGGTTTCTTACAACAAAAATGAGAAAAAAGAAATAAAGCTCACCCAAAACTGTGCTTCCAAGTTACAAAATAATATGTAGAATATAATGCCATTTTCATAATAAAAACATATTTATGTACATGGAAACAAAGTATTGAATTACATAAACCAGTAAGTGAAAGATGGTCATTCCTGGGTATGGATTGTAGGTAATTTTTTTGTTTTTTCCTTTATCCTTATCCACAGTTTCTATTTTTTTCAATAACAAAAATGTAACTTCATAATTTCTTATAGCATATTAAAATTTTCTAGAAAAGCTGGACCAGTATAATCGGCATGTGTATTTATTCATTTGCTCAATGAAACATATTTCTTTAAGTGAAGTGTTTTCACA